AGAGACAGGTTTATCTTGCCTGGCTGGGCAGCTCTCTGGGTGCTCAGCACCCCCAAAGCTCTGATCCTAGAATCGCCCCTGCATGCAACTACAAGTCTTTATGCAACCAGAGGAGCCTGCCCCCTGCTGGCTTGTTTCAGAACTTATAAACTGAGCTATGGACAGGAAATCAGATCACCTTTACCTTGGGGGAAAAAAAACAATGAATGAGCCATTGTAGTTATGCTGAAGTGAGACATGTTTTTTCATGCAACTGAAAATGCACCCCACCCCCACCCCCACATATTCTCATAAACTCAGAGTGACTTTGTTACTTTGCAGGAGCGAATCCGAAACAAAGACCTGTTTATACAACCCAGTACAGTGAATGTCATTCTACAGTTCATCAGTTTAATACTTTAAGCTCTGGCTTTTTAATGTGGCCAGTATATTGTTATTGTACAGTGGATAACAATCACGGCGAGGAGATCTGGACACATTTCAGATCCCCCACATCCAAAACAGAAAACGTAATTAAAAACTAAACTTAAACAAGTGAACCGGTCCAAGCAGAGGGGAAATAATCTTCTAGGGCTGCAAATTCAAGTGCAAGCTTTGCTTTTTGAAGTCTTAATGCATTTAGACTGAAAATCTTTAGACGGATCAGCTATTTTGTGAGGAAAAGGTATATATTTTAAGTAGGCTTAGTTAGACACCTGTATATTTTATTTTTCCTGTTACATTCAGGGCCTGTTAATGAGTGATTGTAAAGTTGTGTTGGAAATCTGCCCGACTGCTGTAGTGAATGAAAGCAGGACACAGACTGTTTTTTTGGCTCAGGCTCATGTTTCTACTGTGCTGCTGCGGTTAGTCATTTGTATAGCACATTTTGAGCCTTTCAGTAATCAGTTATATGCTCTACTAACACGGTTCCTTGGTGCCTAGAAGAAAGATCTGTTTTTTCCATGGTTTCTGCAGTTGCACTTTTCAGCTGGCATCATGTCAGATGACTACCAGCTACCTGAGGATCTACATAACAAATAGAGAGTTTCTCAAGACTCTTGAATTTCACAGCAGTGTTAAGTCTAGCCATTATTTATGGCCCATTATTGCAAGTTTGCCTCAAGGGAATACAGCAGACACACAATGCTTACAGGCAAGCAAGTGTTGCAATCTTCAGGATGGCAAACGAAAGGGCTGCAAACACTAATGAGAAGTATAATTAGGTGAGCCTGTTTATGATTTTGGAAGGAGCACGGCTTAGATAATGAATCAAGCATGTCATTCACAAGCAAGAGCAGTGTGGATAGTAAAGATGAAATCTCTTCCAAAGAAGCTAAAATACAGATCAAAACCATGGGAGTGAGGCAAAGGGAAAAAAAGAAGTTCTCGGGAAGACTCGTGTCCAAAGGCAGGCAAAGATGGCAAGAGAAAAGAGGCACATACAGCTTGCATGCACATGTGCTTAAAAGACATGTTTAAGGGGCCATATACAATTTATAGAGCAGGGTAGTCGAACATAAGCCCTCAGGACACAAATCCTTCAAAAAAGACTCCAATCTAGCCCGCTGGCAGCTTTGAAAATGTGAACAAGGGAACACATTTTGGAGTTTCTGACTGTATTTTCACAGCCTGTTCTCCTGATAAAGAAGGCTCTCGTGGCTTTTCTACTTGACAGAACATTTCCTTTGTTTGTTTTTTTTCATACATTTACTCAAGTTCAGTTGTTTTCGGGGCCGCCCCTCCGTGAGCCTGGTTCTGCCAGTGGTTTCTTCCTGTTAAAAGGGAGTTTTTCCTTTTCACTGTCGCCAAAGTGCTTGTTTTCAAGGAGCTGTCTGATTGTTGGGGTTCTGCCTCTATTACTGCAGTGTTCCTTTTTTTGTACAGTATTATGATATCATAGGGATTTAATGTATAGTTAAATGTCTTTAGAGTGACAGAAAGGGGAGTTTTACTAATCTGACCAATTTAGGATTAAAGTGGGCTGTATGTGGCAAACCGTCTAAAGTGAGAGATCCCCAGAGAGATAACAACCTCATGTATCAGTCACATTAAATCTTTCAAACAGGTATTTTACACCACCTTAGCTCAGTGGGTGAGCAGGTAAGAGCATCGGCTCGTGCTCCAGTCCAAACTGCAGCCCTTTTTTGCGCGACTTTCCTTTCACTTCACTGTCCAATAAAGGCAAAAATGCCAAAAAAACAAAAACAAATAAGCTTTTAATATATTTCTTTAGAAACTTTGAAAAGGGAGGGCCGTTACTTTAATGAAGAATGACATGTGAATACTTTTAACGAGCTGAATTTGCTAAGTCATCCTTGGCTGGGACTAGTGCAGTCGTCTGTTTTTCATTACTTTGTCATTACACTGGGCTCTCTGAAGTTTCGCAACAGCAGACGCAAATTTTTCAAAGGTGCTTAAACATTTGGAAGAGATTTTTTGTTTCTGTTGCTCATGATGATCATGCAGTGCCTGGGAAAACTGCGCTTTTCCTGAGAAGATTTGAGGACAGAGCAGTAAGAGATGAGCGCTGGGTGGTGGAGCCAGGAGATTTAACGATAAGCATGTGACCCAAAACGGAAACAATCAGGCCTTATTACAGACCCGACGTCAGAGTTTAGGGCGAGTCACTCAGCTGTGGGTGACACACACCGAAACACACGTTCACAGCGGGATGCACGTCGGGGTCCAGCAGTCGGCGTCGTGATGTCAAGCCCGAGGAGAATTACTGAAGCACTTTGAAGCGTCTGTACACGGGGAACTGCTCTGAATGTTTACTTGTTAGGTGGGCTCTTAAACTTGGCACGTAGGCTGAGTGCTCCACGTGAAGTAACAGTTCATAAAATCCTTTCAAATCAAGAGTGAGAAACAACAAGAGCTCTGCAGTAGTCCT